TTACAAAGGGATCCGAACATTGTTTTAACTACAGCCGATAAGGGTGGGGGAGTAGTGGTTATGAACTCAACAGAGTATGTGGCAAAAATGAAAGCTATGCTTGAAGACCGTACCACATATGAACCGGTACAGCGAGGAACATGTGATACCAGGTCGAAGAAGTTCACAACCCAAGCTAGGAAAATTCTACGACGGACAGATTCAGGGAAGAAACTTCAGTATTTGCTAGAAGAGAAACCCAGAGCACCAGTGATGAGGGGGCAACCGAAGACGCACAAACAAGGGGTACCCATGCGCCCACTTCAGGCATCGGTAGTGCCCTGCATAGACTAGCGAAAATTTTGGCTAAACCCTTGACGCAATGCTTGGGGATTTTGAGTCCGACTCATCTGAAAAATTCAGCCGATCTCTTAGATAGACTCAAGCAGCAAGATATGAGTGACAAAAACATGGTCAGTTTTGACGTCAAGTCTCTTTTTACAAATGTGCCCATAGACGGGGCCATAAGAGCAGTGAGAGAAGTCTTAGATCTAGAAGAGAGCACCGAGCTCCCTGTGTCAAAAGACGACTACATTGAGCTGGTTAAGCTGTGTGTCCAATTTGGTAGCTTCGAATTCCAGGGAGAGGAGTTCGTACAGATCAATGGTCTCGCGATGGGATCACCTCTGTGTGCAGTTCTGGCCAACCTCTACATGGAACTTCTCGAAAGGGATCACTACTTGCCCATTTTAGGTGATTCCACGACCTTATACAGGTACGTTGATGACATGTTGGCTCTCGTTGCTAACACGACCGACGCAGAGGACTTGATGGAACGCATGAATGGGGTGGAGCCGGCCATCCAGTTCACGTTGGAGAAGGAGACGGAAGGACGGCTTCCGTTCCTAGACGTGGTAATCAGGAAAGTTGGACGAGAACTTCGCTTTTCAGTCTACCGCAAGCCGACCAATAAGGACGATTTTATTCATTACTACTCAGCCCACAGCGAGCGAACAAAACGGGGAGTGGTCATTGGCTTTTTTCTTAGGGCGTACAGAATTTGCTCGACAGAGTTTTTGGAGCAAGAGCTACTGTATATCAGAGAGGCATTCAAAAAGCTTAAATTTCCAGAAGCACTGCTGCTCACTCTACAAGGAAAGGCGAAACAGATCAGAAGAAGAGCCATTAACAACGAGCAGTCACAAGATACTCGTCGTAGAAAAACAGTGTTAGTCGTACCATACAGCACACACACGGACACAGTACGGAGGCAGATGACACCACATCTAAGTCCGGTCACGACGTCAGCAAAGAAGATCGGACAGCACACAAAGAAGTCAAATAAAAAGACAGAAAACAGGAACAGTGCCGTATACAAAATCCCATGTGGCAGGTGCGACAAGGCCTATTTTGGAGAAACGGGTAGGGGACTTCAAACAAGAATCAGAGAACATAGAAAGGACGTACGAAATCACCGAACAACGAACGCTCTTGTGATACACATGTCGACGAACAAGGCCACCTTCCGAACTGGAACGCAGCAGAAGTTCTCCACAGCGACTTGAGCAAGACCCAGAGGTGGATGTTAAAGGTGGCCTACATCCAAACAGAAGACGCTACCAACATATCAACGGGCTTCTTCAAACTGCACAAGGTGGTAGCACAGAAGATAAAAGAAGAAGGCATAACGTGACGACGCATCACGTAACGAAACTCATTCGAGCGATTTTCGATTCGTTCTGAACAAAAGTGGTCTTGACCAAAAAGTGTGATATGCATTGTACAAAATACTCAAAAATGTTTTTTCTTATTTTGTTGGCTATGTGTTCTGCATTGGTTCTGCATTCCCATGACTAAGCAGTAAACAGCGAAACGTCGGCCGTCGGGAGTTAAAGTGTTTTTTACAACGTAATGAGCGACGGAACGGCCTTGCTGACACTTGCATTTTTACAAAAATGAAGATGTTAGTGGCGTTGGAAATTTCGCCGTTTTTGAGGCGAAAATGGCGAACATGACGTCACTAAAACATCATTTTGTCAAAAAATTTCCGAAGGATTTCGATCAAATTTTCAGGGAACGTGTCAAATTGATGTAAGAAAAGGTACTAAAAGTTTGGTGGCGCTGCGCGCCGCCGTTTTTGAGATATTGCAAAAATTCGCGAGGGGGGGGGGGGTAAAATTTACCCTCTAGCCCTGCGCGGGTTAAGATATCACTTTCCTTTTCCTATTTCCCATTAGTGCCCAATGTTCCAATTGGAGAACATCGACCATTTTGACTGTGGGTTCGCTCTCGGTCGGTCTTCGAAAGTGCGATCTTAGGATCGCACGGCGACAGTGAACATTTTAACTGACCTATCCGAAACCCTGAATAAAATTTGGCAGAGCTGTAAACCTCCAATTTCACTAGTAATACCTAAAGAACTTTCTTGATTTACTTTATACTAGCCCTTTTTGCTACACTGTACATTCATCAAGAAAACGATTTCTAAAAATCAATTTCTTGGTCAATTTACTTGCAGCTTCCACTTTCCAGTGATGCTTCACCAACAAGCTCCAATCGTACGGGAGACAAATTAAAAGTCCACCACAAAGCCGTCAGTGCCCTCCGAAAATATTTATATTATTATTTTTTCAATCAAAAATAATGCATGACAATTTAAAAAGACGGTATATTCGCAACCGTGCAATCCAAGATGATAACGTCTAAGAGGACCAATGAACCTAATTTGACCACATGTGCACTTATCTGCACTAAATGTGAACCAAGCGTGTACCAGATAGCAAACGGCTTATTAGGTACCGTTTACGCAAGGGGTTATTTGGCATAAGCACCAAACCTGACTTAGTCCAACCAAATCTCTTTTACAGCAAAATATATTGTACAGTAAATATCCTCATATCATGGATTTATTTCAATGTTTTACTCGAAAATAATGTCTGATAATTTGATAAATCGAGAACGATAGCTTTTTACTACAACAATTCCAGGGTTAGCTAAATACATTAACATACATAGAGGTGTAGTATAAACTGGTGTAAACAGATTTACGGCGATAAAAATGTCATGCCATATTGTATTCAACCAGCACTTTTCGAAAGCCTTGTCCGAAGTTGGCCAAGAATCTGAACCTGGAAATTAACCCGCGCCCCACTGGTGGGGGGGGGGGGCTATTTATAGCACCCCTCCCGTTTTTCTGCAATAACTTCCAAACAGCTTGACGTATTAACCCACGAGCCGCTGGGGGGGGGCATAAAGTTGCCCCCCCTTTACGTTTTGTGGAATATCTCCGAAACCTGATGAGCTACGAGCGTGAAACTTGGCATAGCTTCAAATGAATACCTAGGCAATGTTTGAAGAAAGTTTGGTGGTTGTAGCATCTAAGATGACGTCACAGTGACGTCATAAAGTTTTGTCGTTTTCCGATATGGACCGTTTCTGATGACGCTGAGCATGAAACTCAACTGTAAATGAACTAGACAGGACCTGCTGTCATCCTAAATCAGCTAAGTACACTTCCATCTAGTTCCTAACCAATAATCGGCCCTTTATATTCGGTCCCATATACCTGATGTATCGTGAGGAAACTGAGAGTCGCAAATCTACAATTTGACTTATGACGTCACTGTGACGTCATTTCAAATGGGATCGACACCAAATTTGGACACAACCTCGGCTAGGTATTCAGGAAGATGTGTGCAAAGTTTCGCTTCTCTATCTCTTCGCGTTGCGACGATATCGCCGCGGAAGTAAAGGGGGGGCAACTATATGCCCCCCCCCAGCGGCCGGCGGGTGGCGCGGAGGCCCAGCGGCCGCCGGGTTAACCCTCGCCCGCACATGGGGGGGGGGGGGGGTGGTTGCCACCCCACCCCCCCAGGCAGTCTTTCTGCTCTGCACTCAACATTTTTAGAGCTAGAAGGCTGATTTTTCGTATAGCTGCTCGTCTATCCTTTTTTGATGTCCACTGAAAATTTCAAGTTTCTGTGATTTTTGGTTTCGGAGATATGACCTTGTTTTTCAGGTCATGTCATGACCCAAATGGCCAATTCTCAACATCTTGCGTTTGCCATGGGCCTTGTGAGCTTTTGACACCCTGATTTCGGCCTTTTTTGCCAGTCTTACCTCCCACCTATCATGGAACATGTTGTTCGACGATGTACAGGGGTCAAGGTCAGGGTCAAGGTCAACCTAGGTCATCTAAGATAATTGCGTTTTAGGCAAGCGGAATTTACTTTTTGTGAAGTTTTTTTACTGCATTTTTGGTAAAAGCTTCTCAGATCATGATTTCATGTGATATGGACCCAAAAACAATCGGTGCACACATCAGTATACACACAGACACACACAGACATACAAACACATATAATTGCCCAGCCAGCAAATCGGAGCTTTCCCCGTACGGGGAAGGCCTATGGCGAGCTTGGGGCAGGCTCGGGGAAACCCCAACCGTTCTCTTGGGGAAAACGGAGCGTTCGCTTGGGATTTGAGACACTTTGTACGGGGAACTTTGTGCGGGATTCGTACGGGGAAACGGTATAACTGCCCAAGCGTTCCCCAAACGTCCCCCAGGCTACCCCCGCGCCGACTATGGTTAAAACCCGTTGTTAAGGTCGGTTCCCCGTACGGGGTTATCGAACATTTTCCCCAAGAAGATCCTGTGCGAGCCCCGCACATTCCCCCACCCGGCTATACGGGTTTATACTTACTGGAGACCTTCCCCGATCGGGGAAACCGTGTTTTTCCCCTAACGTTCCCAGACCTTTTCCCCGCGCGAACCCCGGCCGTTTCCCGACTTGGCAATGGCCCTACTGCCTTGCCTGCTTTTTTCCCCGTACGGAGAAGCCAGTAATAAACCGCACTGGGAAACAAATCGGGTCCCATTAAAATTGACAATGACTATTTATTTTGTCTGTAAACATACAAATATTTGTATAAACATACTTGTTTACATACAAACAAAATTGTCCACTTGTTTCCCCGCAATACGGAAACGATAAAACCACACAGGAAAATAATCAGAACCAATCCATTTGGCCATGCCTGTTTATTTCCAGACTTTCAGGACGCTTCAACGACTAGATCAATGCACAACAGTCGGCCAAGCATGGTATGTGTCTGTACCACCACAGCCTATACTATTTTTATGTGGAGTCCTTCATTTGATGAAAGGTTAACATGCTTGATAATTGATATACTCGTTACAAATCAAGACAAACACTAAAAAAGTTATTATTCACTTAAAATACATTGTGAACGCTTAGCAGGTGGCAAACATTACAACAGCAGCGCAGCAGTGACAAACAACAGGTGACGAACACGAGCACTGGTAACCGGTCTAACCCCAGTTCTAACACGTCGAACCCCAGTTGATCCTCTGCAGTAGGAGTCTGTTCAGCAGATTGAGAACGACGGCTTTTCTGTCGTCTCCCTACAGCTGGTCCGGCCTTCCGTTCAGTAGTGCCCTGGATCCACAACTCGAGTCTTCCTTCTGGCTGTTTCAGACACATCTCAGCGGTCAGCTGCCGCTGAGAGCCACCTTGCTATGATCCATGTCCCAGCGCATCTCCAGGAATTCTGCGGCTGTGGACAAAAACAAAAATATGTGCACTTGTAGGTATATCAATCAGGTTTTACAGCTAGCTACTACATGAAATGTCCTTTTATGGAAACTTCAGCTTACGCTGAAACATGTTGAATGCCATTTTATGAAATTACACTTATTTATAGCCTTTTCCCACGAAAAGTGCTTAAAAAATGAATGTGATATACTTTGAATAGTTTATTAAAAAAGGAAATAAAAATTCAATAATTAAATTTGTACTTCTAAACATTTCTCATTCCAGGAAAGTCATTAGGTAATAAATGTTTTACGTCTATATTACGCCTTACGAAGTTCCTCGCGAAAGCACTTGACAGATAAATGAACGCCGTTTGACAATTAAAATCGGTTGCTAGTTTATCAAGATAACAATGAAGTTCCTTTCACAAACAGAGCTGTCTAGTAGAGCTGCTGAAACAGGCTCTTTCCGAAGACAAAAAAAAAAAAAAAATGGAATGCGAAAGCCTATTCAAATACATGTATTCATTACAATCGCGTCAATCGTTCGCACATCCCTGTAAGCGATCGTAATTTCATGTATTTAATTAATGGGCTCTCGCATGAGATTTTCTGGCTGTAGAAAGAGTGTGTCTCAGCCTTTAGAATTGGGTGAAGGACAGGTGTTCAACAGCTCTAAGCTAACCCCCACCCCCATAAACTGCTTACCAGCTTCGCCTGGAAGTCGCTCTTCGGTTGCTCATGCGAGCAATTACGCATTAACTCCACGCCGGGTTCATACTGCTGTTGTGGGTTCTGCCAAGTCCCGTCGGAAGCCTTCCGGTCGTAACCGGCAGACGTCCCTCTAGAACAGAAGCAGATAAAGCATTAGGCTGATGACATTATATTGTCCGGGCAATTTAAGGATAATCTCAGACGGAGGTTGATGACCTCAGCCATTTTTACGTCATATTCTGCATACCCTAGACAGTGATCAAGATATTGTGTGTATCGGAAGCTTTGTCTTTTACAATAAATTTGAGTTAGTATCATCGTCATTTTATATCTATCATGATTCGTTACAATTAAGTGCTTTAGTTCATTACCAACACAGCGTATCTTCCTCGTCGATCTGCGTCCTCCGTTGTTGCCGAGTCCAGCTTCTCACGCACTGACCCCAGCGGTAGATCACGACTTTGGGCACAGGTCAGTCAAGCGGTCACCACATCTCGCCGTTCACCGTCTTCGTTCACAGCTCTGTAGTGTCGCCGCACCATTGTCTGACCTGGAGCGGTACCTAGCCCACGGCTTGCTCACACAACCGCGCGGCGCAGTGACTCTGGACCGACTTCCCCCGTTCGTCCCGTCTGACGCGTCGGCACGGCCCCATTCACGATGACAGATGTCGACAGGAGACGCCCCTCAACCAGATGTGCGGACGGAACCGACGGCGGCCGGCCGTTGCTACCCCTCCCTCCCCTCCCCTCGCTGCGTTGAGGCGACACTTCTAAGTCGTAAACAGTGTGTTGTTGAAATTTTGATGCTTTTGTAATTTCAATGCGATGAGTGATGACAGAAGAAAGAAAACGTAATGTTTATGCCACAGCAGTGCGAGAAGAAACATAGATCCTGAAAGTTGTCAAAGTTGTTTTTACCTCATGAAATAAGGGCACCGACGTTCGTTCAAAGTAATGGCGTATGCGTGTCCTCATCCACACGGCTTAGCAGGCCCCGTAAACCAAGACGGCTTTTCCTCTCTTTTAGGTCGAAAATTACATAGATCCAATGTCTACAATCAAATGTCTGCGAATAACCGTTTTCATGATAGGTAACTGGTACACAATTGGTAGACATTTGGTCCAGATACGGTGCCGATTTGATAAAATTATCAGACATTATTTTCGATTAAAACACTGAAATAAATAGGTATATGATATGAAGATATGAAAAAGAGATTTGCTGCAAATTTGGTCACTGATGCATTCGCCAGATCACCTGTCATGAAAACGATTATAAAAAATCGTTATATCGTTATATTTTTTATTTATCATATCTCCCTTCAATCGATGCATGAGCCTATAGCTCTAGAACTGCTCCTTAGACTGCTTTTAACATTCCCAAGATTCAATTTTTCTTTATTGAATACCTACTTGTTATATTACATGCTGGAAGTCGATCTCAAGACGTCCTACTGGCGGTTGGGATTCGTCTGGGGATTAAGTGTAAAATCCCGAGCGGGGAATTTCAACAGTTCCCCTACTTTTCCCCAATCAAACTGTTCTTGAAAATGGGTCGGAGATAACGCACCCTTCCCCGTACGGGGAATCTGATCTTTTACCCGACCGAACCCCAACAGTGGGGTTTGATTGGGGAATGCTGCTCTTTCCCCGTACGGGGATCGGTGTGATTTCCCCATGTCTTTTGAACATATTACCGATACAGTCGGGGAAGGGATGGGGAACACGGACCGTTCCCCGATCCGATAGGGGAATTGTACGTTCTCCCCAAGCTTTCCCCAACACTGGCCCCGCACTTTCCCCAACCGAATTGCTGGCTGGGTGACCTTGACCTAACTTGACCTGAAATGACCTCAGCAGCAAAATTCTGGTCGGATAGTGTGACAAAGAGGTTCTAGCTGGCTTGGCACCAGAAAACAGCATCGTCATCGGTATTTGATAAGCAGCGCACTTGATATCCAACGGTGACACAAAACAGCAACATTTTTTAGTTTGACCTGACCTGGAAGGTCAATGACTGACCTGAGAAGGTAAAACTGGGTATCATTGGATTCGTCTCTTCCCAAAGAATCTTTTTGGTCTTTACTGCTAAGCTCTATCTCCAACAGGAACGAAATGGCGCGGGGGGGGTGGCAACCCCCCCCCATGTGCGTTCTAGGATGGGAAAATGGCATGTGCGGGCGAGGGTTAACGCCAAACTTACAGTACCTTCGGCTGCATTAATTTGACACCTTGTGTCAAAAATGAACTTCGTAGCTACTATAGGTCGGCCGAAAATGGTGTCAGAGTGACGTCATGTTCGGCCGATTTCGACGCAAAACATTGAACCACGGCAATCGCTCCCAAGAGCTCAGTTTTTAAGCTAGATCAAATTTCCTTGCAGTTAAAATTTTAAAAATGGCCAAATTATACGCATTATTGCAAAAAAATTCACAATAATTTTTTTCAAATCAATTTTTTTCAGTGCGTTTTTGACATCGCACGCCAATATAAATAGCACCATCGTGTTCTTGAGCTCAAACTGCATCCAATAGACACTTTTTTGTTGAAAAATTCTTACTTCAAAATTTGACTTTTTTTACCTGAAAGTGACCTGACCTAAGCTAAATTCAACTCAAAATGACCTCAAATGACACAAACGACATCAAATTCGAAATACATATATGGCCTAAATGGACCATAAAACATGTGTCACCTGACCGACGCATGATATAATATTTCTGTGACCTGTGATGACCTGACCCTGACCTGAAAATCAAAGTACAATTTTGGTACCTTGAGGGTATCTAAAGCATCTGTTCACGAGTGTGTAACTCAAAAATGAGCTTGATCTGACTTGTAAGACGGCGGCCAGAGCCCAAAATGTGAACAAGCCAAAATGCTAATAATTTTTACTTTGACCTGACCACCGTGTATGGATCGCAGAGCCGCTCCTCGGCCCTCCGCTGAATACCGCAGTCGTGGGAGTGTGGGGGTCCAGGTGCCTTATAACCTAACCTAACAGGGGAGTCCGGGTGTCTCCCAACCTAACCTAACCTAACAGGGGAGTCCGGGTGTCTCCTAACCTAACCTAACAGGGGAGTCCGGGTGTCTCCTAACCTAACAGGGAAGTCCAGGTGTCTCCTAACCTAACAGGGCAGTCCGGATGCCTCCTAACCTAACAGGGGAGTCCGGGTGTCTCCTAACCTAACAGGGGAGTCCGGGCGGCGCCTGGCGGGGAGCACGGCTATGAAATGCGATTCACGGGCCGACCTCTTTGGTTTGACAACAGCGCCGTCAAATTGTGCGCTGGGAGCCTATCGCGGCTGAGCAGCACTCGCTGTTCAAGTAAACCACATCTGGGTAAAACACGAACGGCCTATACTTATTAAAGGGACCCTCCCACCTTCAAAAAAGTTAATGAATTGGCACGAAAGTGATGTCGCTCGGTTCAGAAAGAGCGAAAACGAATATCTACCAAATTTCATCGAAAAATATTCACCGGTTTTCAAGATATTAGACTTTTACTTTTGTTTACTTTTTGGAATCTCCGCTGTTCCTAGCGACTTTATTTGAAAGTGCGGCATTTGTTGCGCGCAAAGCAGCAGATACCACCGCGTGCTACCAAACGTTTTAGTAAAAGATTTAAAAATCGTTAGATCTCCGCTGACGTCACAAATTCTAAGGGGGCATACCAATGCACTAGCCCCTTAGAATCCGAAAACTGCAAGTTTGAAATTCCATATCTCCGAATTAAAGCATTTGTCGATGTTGTGAGTGCCCAAACCGGTATTTGCAGGCCATGGCCACCAATTTGGCATCTGAACTCAAAACTAATGTTAAGGTGGGAGTGTCCCTTTAAGCCTGTTTGGGGGACTTGAATTCTTCGATCATTTTTATCAACAACCCGCGTGACTGGCTGCGACGCGCTTGGTGGAGCGGCTGACCAGTCGACTCAAAATTACAACGTTACCTACTAAACATGGAAAACTAAAGTATTCACTAGCTTTTAAGTATATCCAGAAATTATCTAAATCACTAAAAAAAACATTTTAGAGGAAGTTTAAATTTGTCCCAATTTATCTGCCCCTCCCTGTAGTTCTACACGGCGCTCCGACCTACTTCGAGTGTCAGATGCAGCTTTTTCAACTCCCACTAATGACTCCTGTCTCCTAGTAATAGCCACTATATATTAATCTGAATCCGTTCAAATGTATACCGGGTCTGAGAACGGCCGTTCATTCTGACCGTCCGGCGTGACGTATGACTTCTATTTTTGGCTCCAATGGGTGTCCGCGGGGTCGATCGATTTCCCATTTAGACAGAATAACTAGATGCGACGCTATCCGATGGAGAGCGATTATCGAACGGACAAAGTGGATAGAAAACTTGAGTGATGTCTAGAGCTCATATCCTGTACCTAATCTGATAAAGAAACTAACTACACACTGACGAAATCAATTTACAATGCACAGCGATGGATTTCATCACGAATCCAAGCAGTATATATCACCCAAACTAGTAAGTATGCATGGTCTAAACACCAGTAGGTATCGTAAATATTGTTTTATATTGGAACCTGTTTTATGCGTTTGGTGCTGCTGTCAACTCTCAATCGGCTCTTATTCAGACGGTGTCTCGACAGTCGGCGATTGAACTTGCAGAAGATGAAAAGACGACAACCTATGTAAAGCAGGCTTTGGTCATGTATGTACTCGCGAGGCAAGTGTACGAATGTCGAGGATACTTGGCGACTCATTATGCTTTGCGAAGCCGGGATGGATACCATGTTGAGGCCAGGTAAGAGGCTCATTGATCACGAATAGTTTCATTGGGAATGCGGTTCCTAACGGGCTCACCACGCTTGAAAATATGTAGTCATCTAGGGATTTGTCCAGTTTTAGCTTGTTTGTGCTGGCAAATAGTTAGGGTCGATTTAAGCTATTGCAGAAGGAGGTGTGTGGTGAGGTCTCTCGGGCAGGCCCACTGCACGCCAACTCAAACCGTTGACGAGGGTAGCACTATCTGGCTATTAGGCGTCTCGCGTCGGACCATCCCACTCGGCGTCATCAGTCCCATCCCGGAGCATACGCTCGGCGGCCGCTATAGCCTCGGCCCACGTACCGCGCAGTTCACACCGCCACTCAGTTATCATTCATAGGAGAAGAAATCATTGCCTATTGAGCGTGAAAATACATAATATACATCATACATAACCAGAGGTGTCAATTTATGAAAATGGTTGGGGGGACCGACACTGGCAGATCGCGGCAACCTACCTACCCCTATTTTTTTCTCCTCGGATTTCGGCCACTTTATTTTGAGGTACCGAGAAAAAAAAATATTAAAAAATAAATTAAAATAAAATATGACATTAGCAGGGAAAGCCTCTGCACAGACCAACTAGAGATGCTCACTGAGTACTATGCGTAACATCTGTAGGTATACCGTTATAAGATATATGAAACACGGTCATTCAGCTCCAGCTGTAAACACCAAGTGGCACCTGCATTATATTCAAATGATACGTATATCTCCGCGGCAGCGTTTAGCATTGGCGGCAGCACGAATTCA